TTATTTACATTCGATCTCGTATTAGACAAGTACTGCTATATACATGTTTTTCAGTGTGACCAATGTCGTCGTGAGAGTATATGAGCGAGACTTGTAGAATGAATATAACATCACTCACAATCTTGCTAAAATGATTTTTGATTTATTTTATATTCTTTCGAAATATGTGTTTAATAAGGAGAAATTTTGTTTTCTTTTGGTATTCTAACTGCTGAACTTTCATTAATCTCTATATCATTCATAAAGAAATAATATTCAAATTGTATATGTTCACATTTGAGGCTCACAGAATTTTAATATGCGTAGAAATGACAACGAGAAAACTCCTGCCCTATGTATACGTTTATCACTAAAATTCTGTCTATAATAAATCTATTTCGATACAAAACATATTATGAAACATCTATTTCGGATGCATACGACTAACAAATAATAAAAAGTATCGTAGGCATTTTCTTTAAGTAAAATCGACAGTAGTATTGAACACATAACTAAAAAAGAACATCGTCATTGCAGCGCATGTGGCATGTCGTTACACAAACGAAGAAGTTTGTTCCGCGAACAGAGAAATCGGTAGTAATATTGATTGTATGATTCTGTTGGGTTTCTTCTGAAAATGTAACTATGACAAACAAGAAAGATCAACAACAAAAAAGTACATTAACAACGAACGCGCTAACGAAATAAAAACATACATTAATACAGTTTTGTTATTGTTGCCATCGATGTTTTTTCTTCTTTCATTCATGTCTGTACAGTGAGTGAAAATTTGAAAGTAGACTATGTAAACAAAGGACTGCTAAAAAAGGTAATATTGCATTTTTTCTTTCTTTAGCTCTTTGCAACTGTCTCTCTGTGTTCTTCTATCGTGTTGATGAGTTTGAATCAATCGAAATGTCTTAAAAATCAATTCAATGCTGTTCATTACATTATATTTATTTCGTCTCTTTCCACGGTTATTGTTATGACACCATCTACTTTGCTGAAATGTATATACTAAATATGATTCAGTTCATGTTCAAAAGATCGTTAAAATCGAATGAATATTCAAGAATCAGTTCTCTAGGGCGTTCAACTTTTTTCTCATTGTGATACGAATGTTTTAAAATTCGTCATGGTGTAAATAGAGGTTTTTCGGAAGTTTTATTAGCTTGCAAAAATGTTTACATTATAAAAGGAAGACAATGATGGTGGAGAAAATATTGATAAGAAATGAAAGAAAGATATTACTAAAACTTGAATTTGGAATAAATCTCTAGATTTGCATAACAGACTGACTTCATATTTAAATCAGCTTATGTTATCATTCGGATACATCAGTAGAGCTAGACGAAGTCGATGATTATTCAGAAATTAACAAAATAAAGTCATGAATGACATAGTATTCAGTTGTTTTGTTTAAGATTCGAAGGCAACAGGATACCAGCATGGGATTTTACGACAGAAAGTTTCATCATAACAAACAAAGAGTATTCATGCTCGAAATTTATCATTGCTTTTACGAAAAATCTCTAAATACTGAAAGATGTCATGAAATACCATTTAGGTATAGTTACAACATTCTTTACTAACATCAGTGAAACTAAAACAAAGCATTGTTTTTAAATGAAATATGAACACTGTCTTCTGAAAAGAAGATCTTCATGAACTATTGAAGTCTTTGAAGCTCTACAAACAACTCTAGACAAAGAGATGATTGAGAAGACTACATATGCCATAAAATCAATCCACAAAATAGATAACTATTGAATATTTGTAAGAGTCATACTTTCTCGACATTAGATACTGTTTTGCATCATGAGGCCATTGGCAAGAACATTTAATTTCTCTAAGTTAAATTTAAGTAGACAACAATTTGAAATTCAGTTACACCGGCTGAAATATTGATCTGTGTCTAATGATATATCTGAAATTTGCGTGTGAGTGAAGAGAAGCTGCAAAGACAAGCCTATGTCCTATAGTCGTTATTGCCTTTTATTTTTTTTCTAGATATTGCTCCGACGTAAAATATGGTTAATTTTTTGTTGACACTCAACGATAAACTTCGCCTCGTTTCAATTGAAAATAGGCTTATTAACAGTAAACAAAAAAGAAAAAAATCTAACAGCGTCATTTATTCTATTGTTATTCTTTCCAACTTTCGTTTACTTTTCATCTGTACAATGACTTAAGTGCCATTACATTCGATACGTTGTTTCATACATTGTTTAGTTTTCTTTGATTCTTTCAAAGCGAAGTTTTTCTCTTTCTGATAAGAACGAAAAAAAAATCAACACAGGCATTGTTAATTCGATTATTTTCTTTCTGCCTGTGGTCGACATGATAATAATGTGAACACAATGACAAGAAAATTCGATTCGACTTTTTTTTTGAACTAACCATCGAACAACGTTGTTTACATGCTCAATATATTGTTGTTAGGTAACAAGTGATTCAAGCAAAGAAAGCTGCTTACATCGTGCTTCGTCATTGAAGACATGTATCACACGTTATAGTTGCTGAATCAGTTTTTCTCTCATCGTGATTCTGGGTGAAAAAATACCAAAAACGATTAGTCTGAGCATGCACAAATATCATAATTGGTGTTTGTGAGGTATTGAGCTGTGATTTTCGTATTGTTTTGGAGATACTGAAAAAAACGGTTGATTGTGAAGATATAAATCAACAATAATTTCATCTAAACTTTACAATGTATGTTATTTTAAAATAAACTTCTGATGAAATATTATGCATCAATCAAAATCATCCATTATCTTGAAATCATAATCTTATAAAGATTAAAACTTCTTTTCGAGAACTTTTCATAATGTAACCTTTGCAATTCGATCTGCAAGATAAATTTTTCGCAAGTTTAGTTGAAAATCCTAGTTTCAACTCATTCATTGTTGTCAAACAGTTGATATCATTTTCGAAACAATTAGTCTTGTTCTGAATGGATGAGGAAGTATACGTACTGACATTTTTTATCTGAAATAATAGGTGCATATGAATAGATAGTAATTAGATCAAATTGAAAAGATACATGTTAGATTCATATAACTGATGCATCCACATCCACACCCTATTGAGGATTCATTCAATTTTAATGTACATCATTACATACGTGCATAACTAAAATTGTATTAATAGTTAATGCATTTCAACAGGAAACGTATTAGGAAACATGTTTCTCTATAGAAACTGATGTTAAATCATTGGTACTATCAACATCTATTCTATATAATACAGTGAAAACGTGGAATATTATGGGCGCAGAATATGATTAAAAAACTCATCTATCAACAAATTCTGTTTTTGCATGCATGCATGCGAAAGAGAGTCATCTATATTTGCATACAGTTGCCAAATAATGAAAAGTATCGCTGGTATTTTTTTAACTGAAATCGGTGGAGATATTTAAAACATGACTGCTGTTTTTCTTAACTCAAACATAACAAAAACAAAACACCATCATTGTAGTGCATGGTCGCATGTCTTTGCACAAACACAGAACTTTGTTTCGCGAAAAAAAAATGGCCGTAAGGTTGATTGCATGATTCTATCGGGTTTCTTCTGAAAATACAACTACGAAAAACAAGAAAGATCAACAAAAAAAGTACATTATCAACGAACGAGCCAACAAAACAAACACACTGAAGAGAATTTTCATTATTGTTGCCATCGATTTTTTTTCTTTCTGAGTTTGTGTCTGTATAGTTAGTGACAATGTGAAGATAGAATATGTAAATAAACGACTGCTAAAGAAAAGTAAGATTTCATTTTTCTTTCTTCACTTCTTCCTTTCGATGTGATTGCATCACATCAAGAGCTTTTTATTACTGGATATGGGTGTGGGTGGATGTCGATCTCCTTTTCATCAACACTCACACCCAGCTAAATTTTTACATTTAGGTTAAAAATAATAGCTTTGAAGGGTGCTTTTGAAATTTTTTCGTGTAATTAAAAACTCAGTGTATGAGTCTATCATAAAAAGAATTAGTTGATAAAATTCAATAAAATAGTAAAGATATACTGAAAAACTTCTAGGATACCTTACAGAATAAGAGTCTGTCACAGTGATTTTTCAGTAAAAACAAGTTATCTATTGGATTCGACTTTTCCAGATTATATCGATATTTGAGATGATAATGCAAAATTAAGTAAAGTATTGAAGGCCAACCTGACGAATTCTACTCTATACAGCATTTCCAGATATGGGACCGGGGTCAGGTACAACATTTTTTTTTCGTTGTGAGTGATATCTTTTATAGTCATGTAAAACTTGCGTCACATATCATGTTATTGCGACTCATGTATTCTAAGTTTATACGATAATTATTGAGTAACGATCACATCAATATTTGCTGTTCTAATCTTCATAGTAAAATAATCCATTTTCTTTTCGTAAACAATAGAGTTGTCGAACTCAGAACTAAAAAACTTTTTCTATCCAAGATCAAGACAATTAACGGTTGCTCCAGCTCATCGGTACTTATTTCACTTGGAAATTTAATAAGTTTCATGAAAAAGAAAAATTTCTTTCTTCTAATCATTTGAAACCAATCGAGAATGATTAAATAGTTTATCAATAATTTTTCTCTTTTTATAAATATATATATATAATGTACGGATTATAGCAAATAAAAAAATCAAAAAACAGAAAATATGCATACACATGAGAATTGACTATAATCATTCAGAATAAAAAAAAGCAAAGAACATATTTTTCTCTGTGTCAGAAGATCAATTATACTTATTATCTGATACATAAGGGAGATTTGTTTTTGTAAATAAAGATAATAGATGCAACAAAATAAAAGATCACTGTTTGTCAGTTGTTATTTTTCTTTTCGCTTTATATATAGATATTGTCTATGGAATAAAAATAAAAATAAAAACACAAATAAATGAAATAAGGGAAGAGAGAAAAGAAAAACAAATTATTTTAATGATGTTTTTATTTCTTTCATGAGATTAGAACTAAATAAATAAATTATTTAGTTTGGTTATTAATGAACATCTCAAAATATACATACTATTGATTTAAATAAAAGAGCTATTGGTTGTTCAAGAATTGTTTCAGCATATAAAGATGCAGCCGAATTAATTTTTTCGACAACTAAATTAAAAACTTAAATATAAAAAAAACCGACTTATTTAAATTCTTTTTCTAACCAGTTAATCGATAAGATTGACAAATTGTATTAATCATCAATAGAAAGTCTTGATTAGATAATGAAATACGAAGTTGTGATTGACATATCAATACACTCGAACTCATCAAATCAGCAAATGCAATACTTCAAAAAAAAAATATAGATATTAAATAATTTACTAAAAAAATCTATTCTTACGAATCAATAGTCTTTCGTCGTAAATATTGTGAACAAGGCAAATTAAGTTTAAATTCAATTCTATCTGTTTCAATTGTATTTGATTTCTAAATATATTTATCAAAAATAATGATAAAAAAATCTGTTTTTTTTTTATTTTCTATTTTTTTTTCAATATACATTTATAGAATAAGTTAATGTTGTTTTTAATTTTTGAGAAAATGATATAGCATTTATTGAAAAATAAATATGAATATAATTTTGTGAATGAGGAAAAAGACTTATAGATTAAAATGATATTAAATTTGTACTTGTTGTATTTAATAATTTCGAACTCATACTATCAATACAATGAATATTAATATGATCAATAATAAACGATGTTCGATTTTTTACAAGAAATGTTACATCAAGTTGAGCTATTGATGAATCTGGATTAATTGAATATTCCTAAAAATAAATAATATATCAAACTTTATAACAAATTGAAATCGGACGGAACTATAGGATTATGCTGAAAACTTAATACAATCGACATCATTCAAGAAGGTAGCATAGATTTTCTGAAATCTCAATAGAATCTATCAAATGAAATAAGACTCATATCAAAAGCATTTTGTCGCTTAGCGAAGTTTCCTCATCCATTAGTTAAACTAGAATAACTATTGAACTTACAATTGTCAGATTGAGCAACTAGTTTATAAGTATCTTGTTCTTTGTATTGTTGCTCAGACTAATTTGTTAGATGAATATCATCTGTTATAATGTCCAATAGAAGTGGTGCAGAAGTATTTGTATCTACTGTTGTTATTGTTTCTGATGATGATTTTTTTTTCTTTGGTTTCTTTGCAATAGCAGGAAGAGGAGGTGTTGAAGTTGGACAATTTTCTTCCTCATCAGCTGGTGATAATAATTCTTTATAATCACTACGTTCTCGTTTGTGTTTAGATTTCAATGTTGATGATTGTTCTTGTTTTTCAATTATTTTCTTTTTCTTAGATTTTTTTGGCTTTCCAATTAATATAGGAGGTGTTTCAACTTGTTTAGGAACTGGTTCTTTTAATTGAGATGTCAATGGTGATGGTGTAGGAATCGATTGAATAGGTTTTTCATTTAAGTCAATATTAAGTGCTCGATGTGGATCATATTTTTTATTTTTTCCAACAATTACATCATGATCATTGTCTTCATTTCCACTTTCTGTAGCACCTTCTGGTAATTCACCACCATGTGTTACTTTAGCAATTCGATAAATATCATCATCATTATCATCGATTACTGTTATATTAGATTTTTTCGATGATTTCTTTCCTTTTTTTGATGATTCATCATCAGGTTTTGATTTTTTTCTTTAAATATCGATTTTCTTCATAAATTTTTGCTTGACGATATTATTGATCAGATAGTATTAATTGTGACCTAGTAATATTTGTTCCTTGTGATAATGTTGATTCAATACGATCATTACCATTTATAGTATCCAAAGTTGTTTCAGTCTACAATATTAAAGACAAATTCAAGAATTGAACTAGACTATTTGTATTCTGTAGAATCAAATGAGTTAAGAATATTCTGAAGACAGTTCAAGTCCGTAGCTTATTGCTGTCGAGATACTAGAGTTTTACGGTAGTTCTTAAATGAATGTCGTAGTTCGAGCCCGTCCGATTGGTCCCAGGTTCGAAAACTTTGAACTCGATGAATTCTAGTCATGATGCCCTACAGAAATATGATAAAAACTAATTTTCGAATTTTGACTTGGCTTGAGCAAAATGAATCAAGAATATTTTCTTCGGAAAAATCTGGTAATGAACACAGAAGATGTAATCGAAGATTGAATATAGACAAATGTGAAACAATTCCCATTTTTGGCCATCAATAAGATCCAGATAACCTTGTGCAATAAGTTCGAAATAATATAGATTAGGTATTTTAGACAAAAATTGTTCTACATGGATCATGGTCTTTTTTTTACCTTAATCTTAAAAAACAAAGAATATATATATATATATACAATTTTCAAATAACTATACGCACCATGAATGTTTAGGATGGGACAATAATGATATGGTATCCGTTCACTTTAGATAGTTATCATATGAAAGTTTGATATCAAGTGAATAAAGATTAGAAATTTGATTCAATATAAATGATAAGTCCCAGTAAAAGTAACTTTGAAGAGTTAAATGACGTAGATGAGGCAATGAAACCAAAGCGAGATTATGAGCATGGGGTACTGCTAGTCAATTCACTCAAGAAATTAAGTTATATATAGTAGTGTATGTCTGTGTTTATTATCACTAATCGTAGTCATATCAAATGATTGAAGATGAATGAATTGTTCGAGTTTAAAATGGGAAAAGAACAGGTTTGATTGATTTGATGTATCATTGTCATGGGACAATATAATAGAAATGACTTGATGTGGTCGTATATGTTGGCAAAGAAGATTAAATTTCGATTTAAGAACAGAACGAAAGTTTAGTAAATAGTGAGAATAGCCAGCTAATACAGAATCCAAGTAATCACTTAGGCTGGAAAATGAATAGTAGATATCATGTACTCAAAAATAATCAAAAATATCGTATGAGATAACTGATTTCTTATTGCTCGTTCATGATGTAATAATATAACACACTGCTTTTTTTCTTGTTTCATTCTTTAGTCGATATTACTTGCAAACGTTCTTCTTTCAGATATGAAACATGTGTCGAGATGCAAATGATTCATCCTGTATTCGATACTGGAAAGTATATAGAATGAGTATAAATCGATGATGAGCGAATGAGATTGACAAATCAAAAGTTTTGAATAAAATGAGCAAACATGTCTTTCAATGATCATCTATCTCTTCTGCATCTTTAGTCTTTACGTACTTTAATCATTGCCATTTTTTTTCTTTATTTACAACATTTAGTAAGAGTCACTGCTTTTCATTTTTAAGCCGCTTGTTTTTCTTTTTAATTCGACTTTATAACACTAGAGAAGTTTTTTTTGATGAAATTGAAATATAGAAAAATTCAGATTATAAAATCAACTTTTTTTTCTCTAGGGAAAATAAATAAGCACAGAAGAAAAATCTACTTCGAACGTTATCTTATTTGAGTCACCTTGTGATTGAATCATGCATAAGAAAATGATTAATGTTATTTTTTTTTATATACAAGGTATCTCGTAAGTCATCGGGCAAGAAAAGATTTGAATATCTCTTCGTATTTCAGCGAAATAGACTAATTATTTCACTAAAGATGAACCACGATTCATAGCTCATATCCATAGTAAAAACGTCAGAAAATAGGTTTTTGAAGTGTCATTTCTACCTTCTGACTTTACTCGACCAAGTAGATCGAATCTGGGATCGGTGAGTTACAACTGGCGCCCTCGAGAGACGCTGATGAGCAACTCGTCATTCATTTACGAGGTAGACACGTCTTTTCTTGCGTAAAGCTTTGAATGAAATATAGAGTATTTTTCGAAAGAGCTGAGGCAATTTTTGTAGTGAAGACGACTAATTCAAAATCATACCAATTTCTCATAAAAGCCAAAGAAATGTGATCTATGATGAGAATATCGCGCAAATACTACATATTCCAAACTCGACATTACCAGTGTTGGTTTTTCCAAATTGCAAAAGTTGAAAGACTTGTTCGTATGGTGTTGGCTATAGCATCACACAAAACTGGCGATTTATCTGATAATATTTGTCAAAGTGAATAGAATGAATTCAGTCGAGGGTGAAGCGAGTCGTAGCGACGAACGTTGCTTGTTTGTTAGAATAAATTTTTCTCGAGAATGATGTATGTGAAAATGAAGAAAATACAATAAACATTATCTTAAAATGATATGACTGATGATTCACGAATACAATGAACTAATAACTTCTGAAATTATGTCCTCTATATTATTGTGATTAATAGTTTACAATTCTTAACGACATTCGGTCGTATGAAGTGAGGCAAATACGGCAGTTGAAGAAATGTTGCTCACTTCATATAGACGATAAGAACAAATCAAAATGCAAATTCTTGCTTTACCGTAGTTCATCTATTTCCTTTTCTCTTTCGGTCAATCGATAGTTATAACAGATAAAATAGAAAGAATTGTGTTTCAATATTTCGAATTCTTTTTCATTATTTTATCATGATTTTTCATTCCAATATTTCACTTGTGATTATTGATTGATAATATACTCTAGGTGCCTGTTACTACTTGATCCATGAATCTACGAAAAAAGTTTTGAAAAGAAAAGTATTATTGTTATCCAAACAGAGCAGAAACCGAAAAGATAATTCATGTGTCTTCGATACCTCCTATACCTGGCTTTAAACTGATTTTCAGGAAGTCAATAGAACGCATCTAGTTCAGATTAAGATTGGAAGAAATCGAGTAATAAATATCTTGAATGTTTCTTTATGTTGAAAATATCTTTTGATAACACTCGCACTTATCTATCTGTAAAATTCAAACTTCTTTGAAGATCATATTTTTTTCTCCTAGATAAATTTATTTTGATCCTCATTGAATGTTGAG